TCAAAAAAGCCAAAATTCCTCTGATGGCACCAGCCCCTGAGCCACGTGTTGATCAGGTGTGTTTTCCTGTTCCTTTCAGTATTCTTCCCTGCCACTGTAGGGATTGAGGAAAACACTACCTGTGCTCCTGATCCTTCAGTAATGTAACAGTAAATGTAACAGTAAGTATGCTGGGCCCCTGAACTTAAAAATGTAAGCACAATGAAAACAGTAGGACTAGGTGTCTTTTTATTGTGTTCCTGTGGATTTCTCAACATCCTCCGTTTCATCATGTGGTGTATGTTAAATCGGCATTCTGACATTTACTCTGCCTAGTGTCTGACATTACAATGTGTCCCTGAAGGAACAGTCTTGCTGAGGCAGTCTGCTTTTCCTTTTTAGTGCTCGCTTTGCTTAAAGAGGAATGGATTTCAAGCTTTCCTCATTGAAAGCAATGTAAACATTTTGACTGAGTGGTAGCAACTGTGTTTGGACTGTTCTAGCTTTGGTGCTGTGCTTTCTCCAAACTAGATTTTGAGAAATGAGCTGCTGCCAGTACATGGAGGCTGCGTTCTGCGCAGGTGCGAAAGATGAAATAGATTTAAGAAGCAACCCTTGCTTCCTCTGCTTTTTTAGCTACTTTCTTTTACTGATGCCCAGATTCCTCAAGATGGTCACCTTGGTTTTGGAATACTTCCTTGTCCTTGTTTTGTATAGATTTCTCCTTTGTTTTTCATTTGCCTGCCTTAAGCTGTAAGAAACTTGAGCCTTAAATTTTCTCAGCAGCAGGAGTATATTCTATGCTACAAATCCGTCTTGAACAGTTGCTCTTCAGTATGAATGGTGCTCCAGTCCCTTCCACCTTCTTTTTAGAGATGTTCAAAACCTCAGTGAAGCATTGGTTTGAAGGTGCTAATGGTGAATAGTTTTGTAACGTCATCTTGCTCAATCAAAACACAGAACCTATCTTCGTGAAACTGGGTAGAGAGCAAATAATGCTCATGGGTCCAGCACAGCCTAAAAGTCAAGAGTTTTCATCCTCGATAGGATATAGTTACCCATTGAAGGTAGGTACAGCTAACTCCTTCTTGTGAAGCTTTCCAGAATATCAGTGTTGCATGTTAAAAAGCAGCATAAATAGTACTGCTGCTGGTACCTGGGAAGTGTGATATGCCTGTCTGTAGGGAAGGAACTTACTGTATGCGGTGTGTAAAAGTGTTTGGGTTAGTAAAATTCCTTATGAAGAAAGCTGCTGAATTTCATGAATGCCTTGGTGCGCAGCTGATGCCACTCTGGCTGTAGCTACTGAGAGTACTGTGAGTAGGTGGTTCTCTGGTATTGCTTCCCAGCTGCTAAGCTTTAACTTAAATCTGATACCTGGTGTGGGTTTGTTCTCTTGGGATG